CTGGGACTCTGAACTTGGGGCCTCGTGCCTGTGTGGCAAGCACTTTACCAACTGAGCCATCTATCCTCTGGACCCCTTTTTGTAACCGGGTCTCACTACCTAGTCTAAGCTGGCCTTGAACTCATGGCATCCTCCTGCCTTAGCCTACCGAGTTCGGAGATGACGGGCACGCGCCACCACAGCCCGCTTTCCGTTGACTCTCATCACGGGAATGCAGCTCAGTGAGAGAGCAGTTACATAGAAGGTACAAGGCTCTGGCTTCAATGCCCATCATGGCGGAAAAAAGTACAAGTTTTGATAAAGCATGTAGTGAATGCTGTGTTTTCATCCAGTCTAACAGTCCCTATATGATACTTTGGTTCTTTATTTACGTATGTGTGTGCCTGAGTGTATTTACAAACACCACATGTTTGCAGCAGCCTGCAAGGGCCAGATGTTGTTGGATCTCCTAGAACTGGGGTTACAGACCACCAAAACACCATGTGGATGCTGGGAATCAAAGCCAGGTATTCTGCAAGAACATCATGTTTAATGGCAGAGCCATCTCTCCAGAACTTACATGTTGTTTTTGTTTTGCTTGTTTGATATGATCTACATCACCATATGGGCTGAGCCGGCCTCAAACTTGTGATCCTTCTACCTAAAATATGTTACGGGTATATGCCACCCTATTTAGCCAGACTCTGGATTTTGTTCTTAAGAATTGTTTGTTTATTTAATGTATATGAGTGCTCTATCTGCATGTACAACTTTATGCCAGAAGAGAGCATTAGATCCTACTACACAGGGTTGTGAGCCACCATGTGGTTGCCGGGAACTGAACTCAGGGTCTCTGGAAGAGCAGCCAGTGCTCTTAACTGATCAGCCATCTCTCCAGCCCCAGACTCTGGATCATAATAGAAATTAAGCATGAAAAGATATATCTAAAGCCAGGCATGGTGGCAAATACCTTTAATACCAGCACTCAGAAGCCAGATCTCTGTGAGTTCGAGGCCAGCCTGGTCTACAGAGGGAGTTCCAGGCCAGCCAGGGCTACACAGAGAAACCCTGTCTTGAAAAAACAAAGTACATCTAGCTGGGTGTGGTGGCATACCCTGTAATCAGCACTCAAGAGA